CAGTCCCGGTGGTCTCGCGAAAGATGATATTTCCATCCGGATTAAGAAGCTCAGAACAGCTTTCATGAACGTGCGTCACCTGTGGCCTAGATGTGACATCATTTTGTTCGTCATTGGTCAGATTTACAATGCTGCGGTGCGTTCCATCTTGTCATACGGATCGGAAACGTAGCCGCTAAGCTTTGGGAACGTCAGAAGACTTTCAGTGTTTGAACATCGATGTCTTCGGAGCATTTCCTGAGTCGGCTGGAACACCGGATCAGGAATGCTGAAGTACGTAGAATAGTATTCGGGAAAAATTACTCACCCACGATAGATGAACTGGTCACACTGCATAGGTTGCGCTGGCTTGGTCACGTGCTTCTTATGCCAGTCGACCGAATTCCCCGAAGAGCCCTCTGCGCACAACCACCTAAAGAGTGAAAGCGAGCAAAGAGAGGTCAGTTAAAGCAATTACCAGCAACTCAGTTGTGCTAGTCGTTGCCGTCTCCCTGGATGGGGATCTCGAGACTGGACAAATCAGTGCCAGACATGGCCCAGTCGCGTCCTCGATTGCGCCCGCGCATCCAACCTGTTGCCTTCGATGCATAGCTCCCCTCCTGATCTCCCCAATGAAAAGCCTACTTACAACTCTGTACTTACGCATCATTTATATCAGCTTCCAACGCATAGCTCTCTAGCTTATCTCCCCAAACCATCAGGGAAAGAAACTAGTAGTTGGAACCACTGTACGGCAGGTACGGGGTTTTTACAGCTCATGATGTAGAAGTTTTCACACTTTGCCTCCGGCCTCCCTGCATTGGCTCACACGTCCATATCTGCTTTGTCTTATTTCTTTCTGCAGGTCCGGGTTTGTTTGTGTTCAGGTGCAAGAGAGCCTGTGATGTTTCGAAGGAGGTGGAAAAACAAATTAAACTACTCGTTCCTTTTCATACCGATATCAACGGTGCATCCTCTCCTCTGACCAATCCAGCTCCTCAGACGTCATCCGTAAGTCGATGCTGTTCTGATGAACAGTTGTATTGTTGTTTTCTGTTGTTTTTCGTGTTGTACTGATTTCATAAGTCTTATGATGCCTTTTTTGAAAAGCCATTAAACTCATATGTAGATATGCAGACACTATTCCCTCCAAGGATCCAAATAAGTCATCTTTAAACGCGTTCGTTTACAGTTGACCATCCTGTCCGTTTGCCTTATCGTCAGGCTGCAGTTGTTCAGAATAAGAACGCTATGCGCTCCCTAGGGATGGGTAGCCAACTGGTCCTGCCATGGTTCGTAGATGCAATAAAGCCAATAAGTCAACCTAAAACTCATGTCACTGTGGAATGTAACATATCTTTAGTTTCACGTCTGACACCTATTGGGACCTGCACTGACACGGGTGCATTTGTTCGTCTTACTGCATAAAACTGTGACACCGGGTTATGTGCTGGAGCAGTCTGACAACAGTTACACCCCACGAACTTGTCAGGCCGACTTTTAGGCAACCAGGGGTGCAACTGTCATCGGACCCGGAGACTGCTATCGAAACACTTCGAGTTAGATGAGAGTGAACCAGCGAAGCAGTTTCCCTATTTTCTACTCTACAAAGTGTCTTGACCGTTCGCCGTCCAATACAGCAAAGTACCTATGGTACTCGGCATGTTTTGAAGTGATATTCAAAATCCAAAATGGGATACATGCTCACTGCTTCGTGGGATCGTGTAAGCGTGAACCTAAGCTGGTAAGAGTGATTTCCCGAAGGGAACCCGTTTAAGTGAGGGCTTGGATTCGGATGCGTGTTTTTCCCATGCGCTGGCCTTTCAAAAGAGCATTCTCCCACTTAACTCTGCATGACCAAATGTATACCACCATGAACTAAAAGGAGCACATAGTAAAACGTCGTGCCATAAAATCATATTGCAGCACAGGTTACAATGTCATCAGTCCTTGTTGCATGTAAGTGCTGTTGGCTTCGCAAGATGACGTGTGTTCGCTTCCAGTAGTGGGCGTACTATCATGCTTTCCATATAAAGCGATGTCGTGTTTTGTGTACTTGGTCATAAGAGATTCGGATCCGATTTTTTTGAGACAATCTAAAACTTGACTAATGTAGTCCTCACACAGTACTGTATAAAACGTATATCGTTTTTTGACAATCTATGGTCATCTAGAGTACCACGTTTTACGAGGAAGCCCTATAGATTTTCCTTGCCCTGTCTTCGACCCTTCTCTTTCATCCTTGCGTTGGAACTGTGCTTCGTTCTGTGGCAGTTGGGCACCACGGATGTACTGTTATCCCGATGACGATAGTGGTGCTGATGGTCTACTGATGGGGACTGGACATGACTGAATATTGTATGGTCGCATAGCGGGGCCATTATCGCGGCCGAAGTATGGGAACATTAACCAGTAAACTGAGTTGGGTCGACAAATGCCACTTCAATGGATGCGGGCCCCGGAACTCAACTTACCAATGATTAGTGACACTGGCAGAAATAACCTGATCGGCCCTCGTGCATCAGAGCTATCGACTTCAATTCGTAGCTACCTAGTTCCCGAACTGCCTGAAGGTGCTATCGGCTCATCCTTGATTGTATCTACCACGCTCTGTCGCAGCTGGAACCAGTGTGCACATGGTACATAGCTAATGGCTGATTAATTGAGTTGAATTGAATTAATTGGCCGTCGTGATCGGTCTACGTCGATCCATTTATCAGGTTCTTCTGCGTTAGTTTGACTTGGGATTGACGAAAATCTTCAGTGGTCGGGAATGCCACTTCAATGGATGCGGGCCCCGGAACTCAACTTACCAATGATTAGTGACACTGGCAGAAATAACCTGATCGGCCCTCGTGCATCAGAGCTATCGACTTCAATTCGTAGCTACCTAGTTCCCGAACTGCCTGAAGGTGCTATCGGCTCATCCTTGATTGTATCTACCACGCTCTGTCGCAGCTGGAACCAGTGTGCACATGGTACATAGCTAATGGCTGATTAATTGAGTTGAATTGAATTAATTGGCCGTCGTGATCGGTCTACGTCGATCCATTTATCAGGTTCTTCTGCGTTAGTTTGACTTGGGATTGACGAAAATCTTCAGTGGTCGGGAGTTTTATTCATCCTATAAACGCAGTTAACCTGCTTTGAGTCATTATTTTCATCCGATATGCGTTTTTGCTCAACAACACTGCCTGCCAGATAGTGAAGCGCAGCCCGGATAAGTTCATCTACTGTGTAATAACACTCCCATATGGCTGTCAGTTAGGCGCGTGTTTGGTATTACCAGCACCTTTGTCAGTTCGGTTTCGATTAATTCGTCTGTCCAGGACAAGCATTGTTTGGTTGTCTCCCCCCTGGACCAATACGCAATGTGGACATACCATGAATATCTCAAGCGAAATGGCTCAAGTTGTTAGAGCGCGAATTTACCGACCGGAAGGTTTGGGGTTCGAATCCGACCTCTGCCTCTCGACCCGTCCTGTCTAGGCTTGGGCAACCTGGCAGTATCCCAGCCCTCTTGCTTCCCTCGGGTGGCATAGCAGTTAGTCACCGAAAGGGTTCCGCAGCTGAACAGTCTTTTTTATCTCGTCACCGAAAGGTTCCGCAGCTGAACAGTCTTTTTTATCTCAGGCGGTTTTACTGGTTTAACTAATTGTGAATGGTTAATTCCTTTTCCTTATATCTTGTTAGCGTCGACGTGTTCAGCCACGGTTCAACGTTGGTCTTCTGCGTCGTGCCTTGGGGCGTCCCTCTGCAGGTAGGGTCCTAGTTTGGTTTTTACGTGTTATCTGATGTATACACCAACGAGTGTTTATGCTGCTAATGTTTAGTCGTGACCTACATGGAGCTTCATTTTGCAGTTATACTGTTTAGATGTGATACGTTCGGTGCCGTGAAATCGATTTTTGCATACGTTCAGATAATCAGCTACTGCAGTTTCACTCATGAATGGATGAATAACAGTGGTAACCCTCCACGACAGTGAAGCCATTATTATGGCTTAGCTGTGGAAGCATAAAATGCTCAAGGTCTCACGTTTCTTGTTATAACTTGTTTCACTGGTCTGTTTGGCCTGTACGCTTATTTTATCCAATCTTTTTTCATAAAAAGGCAGGCTTAAAACGTGCGAAACAAACATGCAGTGCTCGCAGCGCAAAGCTACAATTAGTGCCTCCAAAGAACCCGAACACTCATAGGTCATCTCATGACACCAATGTGTTTATTGAAATACCACGTTCGAATCCATAAACGAGGTCGGTCAATCGCATAAATTTCATTACGACAAACCTTGCTGAAACTCAGTGAAACGACAGCTTGCTCTTTGGATCGTGCATTCCCTCCATACAGGTTAGGCCCGTTTAGGTTTACTTTATTCTTTTGTGTGCCGCCCTCACTATCAACCAACTGGTCACAACTCTGTTGTTCCACCAAAAGCTGAACCACCTGTACAGCGCTTTCACTTTTTGACTGTATGTTACCCGTCAGCAAGACGCCCTCCCAACTTGTTGCACCGGTTTGACCTCGGGGGTGGGAATGTGACCATCCATCCCATTATTTCCTGCAGATTTTTGTGATGGACAGATATGGGCATAATAGACAAGACTGCCACTGATATGACCACCTGACTCATTTAGTTTTCAAGACACTGGATTACTGACCGATAGAACGACTGGTTGACAGACAACTTCACTGTCATTCAGACAGGTGATTTCTGTTTTGAAGGCACCAGTTTTTTTTTAAATTTGCACCGCTCAAGTCCTATCGGTTGGATTATCTATTTACTATGATATATACTTTCAAGGGACCATAGGTTTTCCCATGGGCTTGCGTTTTTTACTTTGCTTTACACTTCTAATTGGCGGTGTAGTTCTAGAATCCACATCCTGTTTGACACAACTTCCGATTAAAAGCAGATAAGAAAGCCCTTCATGGTTCAGCATCCATACATGTTTATTTGTCTTGTCCTGTTGGTCTGTGAGCGGTACTAGATCCCTATTCTTTACTTTCTTGACTTTCAGGCGAGCAGGCTGAAGCTGCGGCGACTTCTAGTGCAGAGACTTGTCCTGTGGAAACGGATAGCTCCTTGTCTTCATCCCGGTTACGAACTCTGACAGCATCATCGAGCACAATCTCCTATCCCGTCTTGCTCAGCCGGTCCGACCAGGATCAACCAGAATCGGTCACTGGTTCAGCATCTGAGGACACTCAACCGGAAAATTATCGAAGCCTTGCCACCGCCATAACGTCGCTTTACCTATCTTCCAGTCATTTATCGGGCCAATACCTCATAGCAGCGGCTATGCATCAGTATGTGAATCAACCAAACGGCCTACTCGTATCCCCGCCTTCTCGACGGGTGACGCATTACGTGGATGAACCCGTCTAGTGTGTATGCATATATAGTGGATCTGGAGATCACCGTAACCTATTTTGATCGTACTTCAAGCGCCAGAAATCCTTCTGTTCATATTTTACCATGTTTGTACCATTTTCACCTGGTTTTTCTACCGAGCAGAATACCATTAATTTAATAACTGGTTGAACTGATTACTGACACCGCATATTGGAACAATTGATTGCTTTTCGTACAATAGATCACCGTTATCTTTGGAAGCGTTCGTTTGATCAAACTTACTTGCTCTGTCTCACATGTAGCGATCAAAATTCGTGTTTATTACCCACTTGAAAATACGAGTGGGCGATGAGCTCATAGCGTCAGCCCATGAGGCAAAACCTCAGCGCCCATATGCTTTCATCTCCACAGGCCATGCTTTTTGGATAGAATTGTGTATGGAAGATGAATTCGTCTGCTCGAGGCACTTTCCGATATCTTTGGATATGAGTGTCGTCGTATCGTTAAAAATCGTTCAGCTGTAGCACACTTTCGGTCCAGAAGGTGGCACGAGGGCTGGGATACTGCCAGGTTGACCAAGCCTAGACAGGGGATGTTGAAAGTCAAGTGTAAGGTTCGAACCACGGACCTTCCGGTCAGTTAATTCGCAGTGTATTTGTCCTGCTATGTTTTGCTACAACAGGGGACGTCTCAGGAATGAAGATTGTTTCATGGGCGAGTGAATTTATGATGCTCTCTGAATGACGTTTGTTTGGCTCTTGGAGACCAACCTGACGTTATCCACTGTATCGTACGTCGAAAATTAGGACCATTTTAACCATTACCATGGACTGTGCTGTCTGAATAAAGTTTCAAACTACTAATCTCGTTCACGTGCACGACCAGATAAGTGATAATCTTTGTGTACTCTCCGGTCGCTTAAAGCCTGTATGCAGCTGTAACACCTTTGTTTTTAAGAGGCATACCGTTTAATTTACTGCGACCATATTGGGTGGCTATCTCCTGAAAACGCGCCATTTTTCCGGGTGGTTTCAAGATTGGAACAAACGGATTGCAAGTGAATGAGAAATCAAATGGCGGGCAGTTTACTGTTTCGATGTGGCGGACTGATGCATGGGATCTCTGTGATAAGGAAAACCGAATTTTCGGTGTCAGTTGATGCAAATCAGGGAAACGAATTTACTGTAAGGGAACATAATAAAATGTCCCTCGTGATAGCCCATTGTGGAGGTGACGTTGAAGACAGGGCTGACAGGAAATGAAGAGACTGATTGGCTAACATCCGAATAGAATCTGCCAGTCGTTGAATCAATGCATTGTAAGTTCAAAGTAACTTGGAAAACACGTATGCAAAGACACGGATGTATTGTATACTTGCGGCCAAACAGATCCGCTTTGTAAAGGTACGTATACTGCTCCGATCACATGTCCAGGAGAACGGACACGCACGCGTACAAACTGTCGGACACATCCAATCAGCTGCTACTGTCTCCCACCTCTAGAGTTAATCAACTTCGGCCTGGTATCGCTTGGCCAGCTTTGACTCGCGTCCTGATAGGTGTAGGCGCCCTGACGAATCTGTAGTAGCTACCAAGCTAATGCGTCAAACCGGAGTCCACTTGTCGGCTTATATAGTCGTTCCACATTTTTTCCATGCTTCCTAGTTCTGACATGGTCTAAGCGATGGCGTATTATCCTCTCATCTTCTAACAGCATATTGATCAGGATATTGTTTGTTGATGTCATATCCGCACACCCATTCCTTATCTGGAGACCACTTCGTGTTCGAAATCTCCCTCCCATCAGCAATTCACGGGGCGACTGGTAGTATGCGGTGTAACCCTACACTGTAGTAAAAACTTGTCCAGCCTTTGACCTAATACACTACTCACAAGGTTGCTAGAGACTTGAGGACACGATGAACGAGAGATTCAGCGGAGTTCCAGGTGAGTCTCCGGTCCACACCAAACTGATATGCAACTGAGTGTATTTGTCGGAACTTGTCGTGGGTTTTTCTTTCACTAATCTGTTTTTCACCGAGCGTTCAACTAGGCCGTTGGAATTAGATTCGAATGGAGCGGTTAAAACACGTCCTGCCTCGTCAGTCTTCAAAAACAGTCGAAATTCCTCACTGCTGTTTTGCCAAAGAAAACGATTGTATCAGGTACACCGTGCAATCCATATGATTATGGTCGATGCACGAGATACTGATCTAATGGGCACTGCTTCTATCCATTTGGAATACGCGTCGACCATCACAAAGATCATATAAACATCTACAGGGCCACAATATTCCACGTGCATGCGGCTGCACAGTCATGACGGCCGCTGCCATGATTATATAGGTGCTTTTGCTGACAAAGCACACACGTTGTTGCATCATCTGTTCCTCATCGCGGTCGATACCGAGCCACCAAACATGGTGTCGGGCTAACGCCTTCACTTTGCGTGTTACCTGGATGACCTGAAAGTAATTCTCGTAGAATTTCCGGATGGTATCATACTGATTAACCATGCCGAAGGAAGATCTTGGTTCATTTTGATTTCTTGGTTGCGGTGCCTCAAATACTGGACGCATTTTCTCCGCTCGATAGGTCCAAATATTTGTACTGATACAGAAACCCAAATAATCCACCCGGCCAGGAAATCCTACTACTCCTTTGTTACTTCATACTCCACTCAAGCACCAGCTTCAGCGACTTCAAATGCCCCTCAATGGTACAACTGGTTGTCAGAATATCGTCTAGATAAACCAAAGGCTTGAGTATCTCCGCAATAGTACTCTCAGTTGTGCGTTGAAATATGGATGGAGCAGAGTGAATTCCAAAACAAATTCGATTAAGCATATACAGTCCTATTTAGTACTAATGCTTGTAATGGGTTTCGCTTCCTCCGTTAAATCCAGTTGCTCGGAAGCATGAATCAAGTCCAGTTTTGAAAACACTTGCTCTTACCAACTTGTGCGTAGACATCTTCGATTTTAGGTAGTAGGTAATGTTCCGCGGGGTGCTAGCAATAATCGTGGTTTTCATAGTCAACGTAGATTCTCATTGTGCCATCCGGTTTCTGTAGTTGCACAATTGGTGTAGCCCAGTCCAAAGGCTCAGTACTTTGAATTATTCCTTCACGTTACAATCGGTCAAGTTCTTCCTCTACCTTTGGACGCATCAAGTAGTATAATGACCGAGTATTCCGAAGATTCCCACCTATAGTAAGAACGCAGATGAGTTGAACATGTTTTCGGCAAGTTCTTTTAAGCCATACAATTGCAAAGGTTAAGGGAGCAGTATTTAACATATTTGAATGAGTATGGTGTAAATGGACAGGAAATCGAGTGAGACGACATTGGCTACCTATCAAAGAACAATTAGTTCAGGTCACCAATAGGAGGACTTGAGCTAGTCAGTGAGGGGTGCTGTAGTTGTGTGTTCAGCACAAGGTGCATGTGTGAAGGGAGGTGAGTTGGACCACGGTAAGTACAACACACGAACAAGACGTTTTTGCCGATAAAGGATCGGGTCGCGATGTCGTATGGCAATAGCTTCAGCCACTGCAATTGTGCGTTGCTGCACTGATCTGGGCTGATTAGCCAGCGCCTTGTAAACAACGCGGAAGCTTTGGCTACTACACTACATTTGACGCTACATTGTATGTAGTGTCAGCTAAATGTTGGACTACAGAGCTGGTTATCGTCCTCCTAGTTCCAGAAACTAGCCAGAGTGGATTGTGTTCCTTCATTCTTTGTCCGAATCGCCTAGTCATGCGTCCGATGTATTCCGCTGCAAATCAACAAGGGAATGAGTATACTAACATATTTTGGGTGGGCGAACATATTTTGGGCGTGGACAGGCACTCTATCCTTGAGATTAAAGGGGCACAAACGATTGCTAGTGAACCAGGTTCGGAGTGTTGCGGCCGGGAAAACTTTGTTCAGACTGGTGGAAAGTCTTCTGTTCATTAGATCGGCCGGTATATCTCCCGCTTTCAGGAAAAGCGGCTATTCCCGGCGGAACGTATATATTCACCTTCCATCGGAAAAACTTGCCAGTCTTCGGTTCTGAAAGTATGTTCTTGTAATTTGGATAAAGAACTGAACTTTAGGAAGTGTTGAGAACTGTTTTAACGTAATTATAGATAACTGTCGTATCCAGTGACGTCCAAACAGATTTAGACAATTCCATTCGGTGATTTATATGGTTTCTCTTACCGTCACACCTTTACATGAAGCGTTCACATTAATCGCTCCCATTAATTTCACCTCTTCTCCTGCATACATTCGAAGCCGGACTGGGGCTTGCTGAAGTTTACGTTTCTCCGCTGATCACAACTTGTCTTACCATGACTTTTCACTACATAATGTAACGGCGATATCTGTATCCAGCTCAAAAGCTATTGGTTCGTTATTCACATGTATTTCCGCGTGATACGGCGGTTGAACACGGTTGGTGGTAGCAGTTACATGAAGTACGTAGTCCGGAGTTTTCGACCTTGTAACTCGATTTGTGACAGCAGAATCGGTCACGAACATTGGTGCTGAGAGACATGCCCTCGCGAGTTAGCCACATTTCTTACACCGACTACAAACAACTTACGTGTCCCGAATTCCATTTGGATGTGTGTGACTGCCTCCACATTGATAACATTTAGATTGTAGTCTGTTAGATGACTGCTGTATTCGATAATATATCTAGACGTTAAGTCCACCACCTCTGGTTTCGGTTACACAGATTGCAACAAGTCTCCGTTATTTTATACCGCTTCAAATGCCACCGCAGTATTGTAGGCCGTTTCCTACGTCAAGTTACTATCAGCAGGCAAACACTGCTGCATGCGAGCGCTTCTCGCACCAACAACTAAACGATCCTTGAGCAAATCGTTTCGAAACTTCCATTGTCGCACTTTTCTGTGAGGTTCCGTAACTCTCAACAAAATTCGCAATGGATTCTTTTTCTTTTTTATTCTTGTATTAAACTTAAATCGCTGGACAATAATCGAGGATTTATGATTGCAATGATTGGGAAGAATAGACACAAGATGGTCGAAAATCCGGCGTGACCAAGCTGCTTATTAACCGGCACTTTGTAGAACCACATATCGCAAGAAGTATGTACACTTTCCGCTTCTCATCCGTAATCTCGTTTGTAAGTAAGTAACAATTCACACGTTCCGTGTATTAGTTCCAAGAACCTACAGTAGTAGTAAATTCCTCGAGCTTTCTGTTGGCTGTATGGTAGGATCGGTTCGTCAGACC